TAGGGAAATCACGAGACCATTCCAGAACACAAGAGAGGTGAATGTGAAATTGTGGTGTCGTGAAGAAGGGGACGTCAAATAATATGAGTCAGCTGACTAGAATTGCCTGTCAACAAAGGTTCATCGTGTCAGACCCCATGGGGCACGACTCTGGTATAACTTTAGCTGTATCCGCGTGCCAGAAGAACGAGCGGTCTTCGTCCCCGCCGTCCACACTTGCGGTATCCTTCTTCTTCGTGTTCTTCTTCTTCTTCTTCTTCGTGTCCTTCTTCTTCTCCTTGTCATTCTTCTCCTCCTTCCTGCCCGTTGCGTGCGTCTCCGCCCTCTGCTTCTTGTGCGCCTTCGTCTGCGATCGGGTCTGAGCTTGCTTGCCTGCCTCGCGCTCTGGGTGCCACGGGGGGACTCTTGGGCAAGCTGCATGCTTGTATGGCTGTGCTTGCTGATCCCCTTGAAGACCCGCTTGCCTGTCCGCGTGCTCGTGTTGTTCATGACCCTTGCTCGCGCTGGGACGCAGTGTTGATGTGGGTCCGTGTCCTGGTACGAGGGCGGCTGTAGGATGCTGCAGTTGTCCGGAATCGGCGCCAGCGTCTGCTCCCAGCCGTCGAGGCACACCAGTACGCAGAAGAAGGCAACGGCACCGGCGACTCCATCGCCGGTTGCCCGGATGTGCCAGTCAATGGCTGTTGACAGGCCAGCCATGTCAGCTGAGTCATATCATTGACCTCCCTTATTCGCGATACCACAATTTGCATTCACCTCTGTTTTGTTCTGGAATGCTCTGTTTCTTTCTGTTCGAGTGTTCATTCATCCTACATGCTTGTTTGCTTCACAACTCAAGTAAACGCACACAACTCTCTCTTGCCAAGCCAATCTCTCCCACACAACACACAGCACACACACACACACACGTCTCCAACAACAGCACCACCACCAACATGAATTTACAACAGAAGCATTGAATGCAAATGACTCCCAAAGGCGCACATTCAGTGATTTATATGACAGAAGACTAAATTAAGGACGAAGCGCACCACACGCAACATTTATTTTCCTCGCCACGCTCTTCCTCGCCCCAAAAGTTGCACGAACAAAATGGCTGCCATGACCTCTGCTCGGATGCTGGTGGCCCTAGGCAGCACAGCTGTGCTGCTGATGGTGGCGGTTGATGGTGCGGCTGTGATGCGGGAGGATGACTGGGGGAACCTGCACATCAACACGACGGACAGCAGTGGCACCACACGCGTGCTGCTCAATGGCCTCGACGTCCTGGGCCACTTGGACATGCTGCGGCAGGAGGTGGAGCGATCGCGGCGCGTGGCGCAGTGCATTTTGACGCAGGAGAAAGACGCACTTGGGGTTGACGTGACGACGCTGCGTGGTTTTGGTGATGCAGTCGGAAAGTGGCAGGAAACGGTGCTTGGCCCCGACGGCAAAGTGTATGGTGTGCCATACGACGAGACGGTTGTCCTTGTCATCGACCCCGTCACGAACGCCGTCGACACCACCACCATGGGCAGCTTCAGCCCGGCGAGTGGCAAGTGGACGGGCTCTGCGGTAGCACCCAACGGCAAGATCTACTGCGTGCCAGAGCAGTCACCCGTGGTGCTCATCATCGACCCTACGACAAACACCACGGACATCACGTCCATCGTTGGGTTTGGTGATGGTGGTGACAAGTGGGAGCAGGCGGTGCTCGCACCCAACGGCAAGATCTACGCTGTGCCTGACCTGGCTGATGCTATCCTGATCATCGACCCGGAGACCAACAGCGCCGACACCTCGTCCATCCCCGTGCCCTCTGGCGACAACAAGTACCTTGGCGCTGCGCTCGCGGACAACGGCAAGATCTATGCCATTCCCGGCACGCGGACAAATGTGCTGATCATCGACCCCGTCACGAACGCCGCGGACGGCACCACCATCATGGGCCTGCCGGATGGCAACCGCAAGTGGTTTGGTGCTGTCCTTGGAGGCAACGGCAAGATCTACGGCGTCCCTGACGAGTTCAACGCTGTACTTGTCGTTGACCCCGTGTCCAACACTGCTGACATCACGACGCTCATGGTGACGGACTACGACGTGTCTGGCATCACCAAGTGGCTGTCTGGCGTGCTGTCTGCAGATGGTCGCATTTTCGGCATCCCCTTCAGCGCTGACGCCGTGCTTGTGGTCGACCCAGCCAAGAACACCACCCACACCGTCGTGCTTGACATGGTTGCTGCAGGTGCAGACCATGATTGGCTTGGCGGCGTCCTCGCCCCCACCGGACAGATTTACTCTGTCCCCTTTGACAATGATGCTACTCTCATCATCGATCCACTCTGTGTCGTGTGATTGTGTGTGTGTGTGTGTGTGTGTGTGTGCGTGTGGTTGCGTGTGTGTGTGGCTGTGTGTGTGGTTGTGTGTGTATGTGTGTGTGATTGTGGCTGTGTATATGTGTGTGGTTGTGTATGTGTGTGTGTGTGGTTGTGTGTGTATGTGTGTATGTGTGTGTGTGTGATTGTGTGTGGTGTTTCTGCACTGATGTGTGTACCTTAGGTGTGATGTTTGGCTTCGTTTGTCCCACGCACGTGCTTGATTTTGTGGGCCTGCTATCCTGCATCGAACCCCACCCTGCTAGATTTGTCCGTCTTGCTTGTTGGCATTCATGCACTTCTGCGCTTGTTGTTCGTGTTATCGCTTGCCGCATTAGGCCACGCTTGCTCTGTTACGACCTTTCGTTCGTTGCCGCAGTTGTTGGGTTGTGTCTTTGTGTGGTTGAAATGGTTGTCCGTGGCTCAACATCTGTATCATGGCAGTTCCTTCGCTTTGCTGCTTTGACAACAATCACTTGTTACAGCACATGAACACATTCACAAACATGACTGACTGACAGACACACACTCACATACACAGTGGGGCGCACACATACACACAAAGACACAGACACACACACACAGACACACACACACACACACAGATACACACACACACACACACACACACACACACACACACACACACACACACACACACACATACACTTGAATGTTTGTGGATTATGCGCACAAAATTTCTCACCGTGAACGCCACAGCATTCATTACATCACACCCACACCCTTGACCTCAGTTTTAGGCCAAAGTCCACAAGCTGTGACTTATACACGACAGGGGCCTGTGGTTCCTTCACAGCAGTCACGATCAACTCCTGCCGTCACAACCTGGGCGAGCAGTACACCTGCACAACACACACACAAACGAAGCCTCAAACGCAGCTACTGGAGGCCTCCATCCTCCTGCTCACGCTTCTGGTCCTCTGTTCTTCTGTTTTGGCGCCAACGCTCTCCCCACAGCACGGCACAGCACGGCACAGCACGGCACAGCACGGCACAGCAAGGACGTACTTTGGATCCGCTAGAGTTCGAAGCGATGCCAGTTTCGCCACAACGGCCACAGCGTCTACTTGTGCCAGTCCAGGCTGCGCCAGTGCGCCGCCGTCGAAGCCGCGAACTCACCACCGCCACCGCTACGACACCTCCAGCCTCTGTACCGCAGCCGCAGCACGCCGCTCTTGAGGGCACATTTGAAGCTGTTGCTGTGAGGCATGGCGTGCGGTGGAAGGCTGCCTGCGTAGTTGCTGTTGCTCTCCTTGCCACGGTTGTGGTTGCTGCGCTCCTCCCGAGTAACGTACTGCACCACAGCCACCAGGCGAGCGGTGCTGGCGCCAACGCCAACACACAACTCAGCGCACGCACCACCACAACAGCAACAACAACCACAACAACCACCACAACAGTAGCAGCCACAACATTAGCAGCATCAACGACGGCTCTATCTAGCCCTGCTACCCCGTCAGAACAGTGCGTGCACGATGAGTTTGACGCAGTGGACACAATCACCGGTGTTGGTCGGTTCAGTCACAGCAACAAGAACAACAACTTTTTTTTCACAAGCACGCCGTTGTCATCTGATACGTCATCATTGAACGCAACCATCTGCGGGGGCGACGTGGACTGGTACCAGATCCCTGTGTGCGCCCATGCCACAGTGGTCATTGAGATTGAATCGCTGCATGCCATTCGTGGCCAGCTGTTCTTCGCTGACGGCACCCCTGTTCCCCAGTCCAATCGCGCCACAACACCACCAACCGAAGCAGCAGCACCAGCAGCACCATCGCCACCAACAGCACCACCAACAGCACCACCAACAGCACCAGCACACGACGACACCGGAAGCACCATCACAACACTCGTGTACACTCGAGCTGTGGACTACACGCCGACCAACCTCCTGCTGTACGTGTACGGCGTCCATGGAGCCGAGGGTGCCTACACCGCGCACCTCAACGTCACGTGTCTTCCGCCCCCGTGTGAGGGCACCACTACACGGCAGTTGGACTGCTCCAACACCGAGTCCCGCCAAGCCATTCGCGCCCTGCGTGTGTGTGAGGTGGCAGAGGTGGTGGAGTGCTGCTGCGACGAGTTTCGCGCCCTCAGGCGCGTGAGTGGCGACGTTCATGTGGCGCGCGCGGCAACAGCACTCGACTTTGGGTGGGTGACGCAAATTGGCGGCAGAGTGTGGGCCCGCGGCATTTCCGGTCATACAGGCCAGCTCACGCTCGTCCGCGGTGACCACCTCCAGAGCATCGGCGGCGAGGTGGCCATCGACCACAACCCAGCCCTGACCACCATCTCCTTTGCACGGCTGATCCGTGTGGACGGTGCCCTCCGCATTCGCTTCAGCCCCGCGCTGCTTCGCGTCGACTTCCCAGCGCTCGAGTCCACTCACGTTCTCGACGTCCACCACAGCGATCGCCTCAACCGCCTTGCAGCCGACGCACTCACGCATGTGGGCGACAGCTTGTACGTGTATGCAAACCCTATGCTGGTGCACCTGTCACTGCCGCGGCTGTGCGACGTTGGCGTCGAGTTTCGCGTCGACACCCACGCCAGCCTGACCGCCATCACCGCGCACGCACTGACGCGAGTGGGCAGTGTGGTGCGCATTCACTCCAACGTGGCCGTCACCAGCATTGGGTTCGAGAGCCTTGCATCTGCGGGGGCGGTTTATATCCACGACAACACCCGCATGGCCAATCTCACCATGGCACAGCTCACAGCGGTGCACGGCACCACGCTCGTGTACAACAACAATGCACTCACCTCGCTGTCGCTCCCAAGCCTGCTCGATGCGGCTGCGACCGTGCAAATGAGCGACAACCCGGCCCTGCGCACCATCAGTCTGAGTGCCGTCACCCGTATTGCCGGCACGCTCGACATCCACAGCAACGCTGCGCTGGTCGACGTCCACCTGCCAAATCTGACCAGCGTTGACCACAGCATTGTCTTGCACCACAGCAGCACGCTTACCAGCATCGACCTGCCTGTGCTGTGTTGCGTTGGCGGTGCGTTGAGCGTGCACGGCCATGCGGCCCTCACGAGCTTGGACCTGACCCCGCTCCATGTCGTGGGCGGTGACATTGTTGTGAGCAGCAACACAGCGCTTCACATGATCGCGGGCCTCAGCAACATCAGCGCAAGCGGCGTCAAGCTCAGTGGCAACAGCAACCTGGCCCGCGTCAGCTTTGACGAGCCCCAGCTTCAGCTGATCACTGGGCTCTACCTCAGCTCCAACCCCGCCCTCACCGGCGTTGACCTTGCATGTTTCACCACCCTGCCCGCGCTGAGCGTACGCGACAACATGGCATTGACCATCATGTCCTTTGACAACATCACCAGCGTTGCTGGGCACGTCGACCTCAGCAGCAACGCCCTGACCAGTGTGAGTGCTGCGCATCTCACTGCCATTGGTGGTCACCTGCTCTTGCACAGCAATGCGCTCACCGGTTTTCCGCTGAAACACGTGGACGTGGTTGGTGGCGACCTGGTTCTGAGCAACAACAACATCACCACACTTGACGTCGCAGCCCTGCTCGCCACCGTGCGTGGTGCCGTGAGGCTGGACAACAACGTCATCACGCGACTCGTGGCTGGGGCCCATTATCCCGCCGTCCTCACCAACACCCTGGACCTGAGCAACAACGCCCTCGCTGCCGTCGACCTCGGCAACATGACGGCTATCGAGGCAGACTTGTTGCTCGCTGGCAACACGCGGCTGCACCCGGGCAGCGTGCGCTTTGGTGCGCTCACGTCAATCACGGGCACGCTCAGCCTGGCCGGGTGCGGCTTCTCCGGCAACAGCACCGCCTTTCTGCGCGGCGTGCAGACCGTTGGCGGCGACCTTGTGCTGAGCGACAACGCCTTTACCAGCGTGGACGTGGATACGCTGCCGAGCGTGGCCGGCACGCTCAAGCTGGCCCGCAATGGGCTGACGGCACTCACGTTTGGCGCTATGACGCGCGTGGCGGGTGGGATTGAAGCGCCGCAGAATGCGCTCACCATCGTCGACTTTGCGCGCGTGACCCATTTTGGTGGGGAAGTCAGCTTTGCCAACAACCAACTGACGACGCTGCAGCACTTTGAGGGCGTCGCGTTTGTGGGCGGCAGCCTGGACTTCTCTGGCAATGCCCTGGCTAGCATCGACCTCAGCAGCCTTGGCGACACGTTTGCACGCTCCATCAAGCTGCACAACAACGCGCTCACAGCCGTCAACCTTGGCAACCTGACCAGCGTGGGCCACATGCTCAGCCTTCACAACAACGCACTGACGCAGCTTGACCTGAACAGACTCGTCACTCTGGGCGGGGTCTTGCAACTACAGAACAACGCCCTCACCAGCATAGCGTTCAGCCCGGCAATGACACGTGCCGCCAGCCACGTCTTCCTCAACGACAATCGCTTGACCACAGTTGACTTTGGGGGACTGCAAACCATTGGCGGCGCTCTCCGTCTCGACAACAACGCGCTCACCACCATCAACTTTGGCACTCTCACCCGTATTGATGCAGGCCTGGACCTGAGCAGCAACAACATCACAGGCGCCATTGACCTGTCGCAGTTGACCGTATTGTTGGGTCCCATCTGGCTCGACGACAACCCGCACCTCGCCACCGTCAACTGCAGTGGCTTTGGCACGTCGTTAACCGTGGACAACGGTGTTGGCTTGTCGCAGTGTCCCGACTCTGTGTACTTTTATTGATCGTGTGTCTTGTGTGTGTGTCTTTGTGTGTGTGTGTGTATGTGTCTTTGTGCCATGTACTCGCTGAACCCAAACACGGGCTTCGTGGTGACGGTGAACCCTGAGGACCCGCGCGCCCCCGACCGCCCCCCTCTGTGCTGGATCACGACGAGCTCATCATTGGCGGTGGATGACGCGGCCGGCAATCAGGGCAAGTTCCTGCTCATGAGCACGCGCAACAGCATCGTCACCGTGAACGCCCACGTGGAGGCGTTCTGCATGGAGCTTGCAGACGGCCTGCTGGAGTTTGTGCTCAGTAAAGAACAGCTGGATGGCGGCCACCACGAGAGCTTCGACTACAAGCAGCTGCTGCACAACGCATTGCAGCTGTACATGGAGCAGAAGAAGAAAGACAGCTCAAGGTCGCGCCAGGACAGCAGGAAGAAGAAGGACAAGGGCAGCAAGAAAGGCGGCCACAGGAGCGACGGTGACAGTTCCGCTGACGACGTGTCACTCAATGCCATGTTTGTGCTTACGGAAGTCAGCAACATGCTCGTTTCACGATCCTTCCGCGACCCCGTGTCCATGTTCCTGGAGCATCAGCAGCGGTGCGTGTTGTATTGTATTGAGTTGTTGTTGGTGTTGTTGTGTGCGTTGGTTGTGTGTGTGATATGTGTGCGTGTGTGTACGTGTTGTGTGTGTACGTGTCGTGTGTGTGTGTGGTGTGCGTGTGTGATGTGTGTGTGTGTGTGTGTTTTCGTTTGTGAAGGATGAAAGCTTGTGTTGCTGTGTCAAACCTCGAGCAAGCCTCTGATCAAGCTCGCAGCAACCACCACAACCATACCACGCCACGCCAACCCCTTGTTGCTCACCGAACACAACCACACACACACACACACACACACACACACACACACACACACACACACACACACACACACACAGGACCGTGGACAATGGCCTCAAGCCCACGCTGGAGAATATGCTGGACGAGCTGGCAAAGCTGACGTTCTACCGGCCACGCTACACGGAGGGCGACGACGATGCCGACACCAGCCTGAAGGGCATTGCTGCATTTGCCATCAAGCGCGTGCAGTTTGGGGTGATCTACTACGACGTCAAGGACGTGATGAGCAAGGCGTCTCCGTACTACGAGTGGACGGTCAAGTGCACCAGCTTTGACGCCTTCAACCGCCTCTCCCGCCTCTTCTACGGCGTGCGCTGCATCGTTGCCCACGGGCGCGGCCAGCGCACGCTACAGGACACACTGCCGTCGGCGCACGAAGCGTTCAAGACGCAGGACTTCACGCTGGTGTCCACCGGCACATACTCGCTGCCGTCAGGCGAGGGCGATGTGGAAAAGACAGTGAGCATGCTGAACGAGGTGCGACAGAAGGCAGAGGACCACGTGCGTCATGGCAAGGTGCTTGGTCTCAACTACCACGACTTTGTCAACTTTCTCAACTTTGCACGCGCGTTTGTTGAGCTACTGTCCACGGTGGCAGACTACGCCCTGGACCAAGATCGCGCCAAGCAGGACATGCAGCAGGACGAGGACAAGAACCCCACGGCATTCCAGCTCAGCTTGTCATGATTGTTGTTGTGTGTGTGTGTGATATTGTGTGTGTGTGTGTGTGTGTGTGTGTGTGTGTGTGTGTGTGTGTGTGTGTGTGTGTGTGGTAGGTACAATCCTCTTGACCCTTGTTGCATGTGGGTTGGCTTGAACGTTCCGTGCGTGCGGGTTTACCCGAACCCCCTGTGTTGTGCTGACATACCCACAGTCACAGCGTCGTCGTGATGACTGATAGTGACTGTAAGTCTTGTCTCTTTGTGTTCACTTGTACATGGCAGTGTTTCACGCACTCAAACGCGGATTCATTTGCTTACTTCACACACCTGAGCACTTCTGCTTGAATAATTCTGCTCGTGGATGTACTACGTCGTGGTGTCACGATGGTAACGGTGGAAACGAAAGCAACGAAGCAACACTCGCCAGGCAGGATAACAGAAAGGTGGAAGCGCACCAACGAGCTCAAAGTGGCTCAAAGAGAGGAGTTGCTTGGCACACACAATTGGGGGCGGGGGGACAGAAGCTTGTGACACACACACACACACACACACACAGGCCGGAAAAGGTAACAGAAGCACAAGCGAATGGCAGACGAAAGCAATATAACACGGCTAGACGTTGGAATGCAATTCACATGCACTTGGAAAGAAGCAAAGAGAATGTGACACTCTCATATGTGGCGGCGAGAACAGCGAGAGGAGAGGGTATCCAGCACACGAGGGGATCGCGTACCACCTGAGCGAGCGAACAGTGCCATCTGGGCGTTGGAGCGCCGACGACATCAGGAAGTGCTGCGGAAGTGACAACGGAACAAAACCACACACGCAAAGAAACAGAAAGGAATCGGGAGCAGGAGTGACGAAAGCCAACGGAAGTGGCAATGGCTGGAGCAAACAATTGAAAGTCGCAACAACATAAGGCAAACAAAGTGACAGTACGATCACATGAGGGCACAGCAGCCACCGCCCTGCTTCCTCTGAGCGTCGGCCGCAGCACGATATTCGTCAAAGCGCTGCATGAACAGTCGCGCGTGCCCGAGACGAACACCCATCTCCTGCAACCGTTCCACGCTCACATCTCCAGCATCAACCAGCACAGTCAGCACGTCAAAGGTTGTAGCGCCGACGTGCGCAAGGGCACCTTCCACATGCATGCGCAGCTTGTTGACCGACAGCCACTTCTCAAACTCCGCGTCAAACACGATGCCAGCTTCCTGCTCGTTGTGCGTGTGTTGGGGGGGGGGGAAGAGTGAGGATGTGAAGACAAGCATACAATGGGGCGTTGCGTGAGGCCTTTCACCACATGAGCATACACACGTGGGTACATGCACATACGCACCTGCACTGGCACACACGCGCAAACACACACCTGAAGTGAGGGTGACTGGGGCACTTGTGGGGACTGTGGTGTGGCCGGTTCAGACGGCTGCATCGGCTGGGAGGACTGCAAGCAACAGAAACACAAAGGACGCGATGTGTGAGTCCGTGAAGCAGGAAGGTGAGTCACAGCGAGACATGAGATGCATAACACAGCAGTATTGCGCACGAAGGCGAAAACAACGCATGTACACACACACGAACACGCACACAATACCGTACCTGAGTGGATCGACGTGCAGTTGCTGGCTCCAGTGCTGCTTGTTCTGCACTCCTGGCAGAAGCGACGACCTGGCGCACCTTCTCTGCAATGTCGCGCAGCTGCAGAGTGCGGTCAACAGTGGCGTCCAATACAATGACGGCGTCGATGTCAAACAGCGACAGCACCGCCTCACGTACAGGTTTGTGGTTTTGTGGCGGCGGCAGATGCAGTACTTGTGTAAAGTACTGGTCGAGGGCTGATGCTGTCGCCTTGCTCACAACATCTGGTAACTTCATCGTCAGCTGCTTCATGCGGTCAAACGAGTCGTACTCGCCCATCTCGGCGCGGCTCGTGCTGCCGCTGTCGCTTGTGTTGTGCCACACGCTGCCAACAACCACGGGCACGACACGGCGAAGCCGGATCAGGTCTGCGGCCTCTCCCTCACCTCCCCCTCCGTGCTTGCGCTGGTGCTCGTGCAACGCCAGCATCGTCATCCACTCCAGCAGCACGTTGTCGCAGTAGTCGCTGTGCTGCAGCTGCCTCATCTGCATGATGGTGGCAGCAGAGACGATGGGGCAGGCCACCAGACTCAGCCCAATCGCCGTCATGAACGACAGCTTGAAGTTGAGGCCCGTCTCCAGGTTGTTGGCGTCCAGAAACGCAACCAGGTTGCGCTGCTCCAAGCGCGGATGCAGCGCCATCACCAGCCCACTGCTGGCGCGTTGCCTGTGGTGATCGTGGTGGTGGAGGAGGGAGAAGGGGGATGTGAGGTGAAATGTTGTGCTGCAGCAGTGGTGGTGGGTGGGTAGGTGGGTGGAAGCGACGAACACACCACATACTCACACACGCACACACACACACACACACACACACACACACACACACACACACACACACACACACACACACAAGTCTCACCGGTAGCTGATGAAGACGTCATACTTGTCCTGCAGGCCGAGAACGGGCAAGAGAGGGCCATACTTGGCGATCAGGTCATCGGGTGACAGCAGCTGTTCGTCTACCCACATGTCCTGCTTGCGCTTGTGGTGGTGCAGCACGTCCTCGAAGAACAGCAGCGTCTTGTCGTCAAATGGCAGCAGCAGGCTGCTCTTCAGCTCAGGGTAGCGCTCTCTTATGGCCTCGCTGATCATGGTGTGCAGCATGTGCAGCATGGCGCGTGGCTGCGCACTTGTGATCTTCATCTTGATGCCGCCAACAGCCGGCACAAGCTGCAGCTCAAGCTTGGTCGACTCCATGAAGCAGACGGCGTGGGTGCGGCTCAGCTTGGGCTGCTGGGATGCGCCGTGCTGTGCGTGCACCATCACGTGTGCCAGCACAACGGTGAACAACCCCTCGGGCAGGAACGACGCGTGCCGTGCGTCTCGAGCACACACGCTCGCACTTCGCTTGAATTGCTTCAGGCTGAAGGTGACGTAGGCTGTCTTCTCCTCGTGCCCAAGATACGGGTTGACCTGCTGTGCTGCCGTCGTGCTAAGTGACACGGATGCCATCTCGCTGTTGTTGTGGCGAATCGTCATTGGCAGGATGGCTGGGACCAGGTAATGCTGCTGCTCTGGACTGTTGCCCTTGCTGCCCTTGGCTGTAGCGTGGGCACCGTGGCCAGAGTTGGCGCGAGCAAGTGCCGTGCGGCTATCCACCAGCTTGGGTGGAGAGTACTGGATGCACAGCCCGTACTGCATCATGAGGCGCAGGAACGGCATCACCAAGTTGCTGTCCACGTCCCCCCACAGTACATCAAGCAGACGGCGGTGCAGGATGCCGCGGTCAACAAGGTCGTCCCACAGCTGCGCGCCAACGGCCCTCGCCTCGCCATCCCGCACATCGTGATGCAGGTCAAAGTTGCGGATGACGCGCGTCATCATGTCCACCGCCCACTGCGGGCTAAGGATCACATAGTCCTCCATGCCTGGCACGCTGTCGTAGTACAGGACCATGGAATACAGGTGCAGGAACTGGAGGCAGGTCCGTGTCTCCTCACGTGTACGCAGCCCACATGTGCGCGCAATCTGGACCACCTCGTCAAACGTGAGCAGCGGCCGCTCCTCGTCGCGGGCGATGGCGTTGAGCTTGTCGTAGAGGTGGAGGTAGGGCACAGCCACCTCCTGGCTCACGTATTCCTGCGCTAAGGCTGTGGAGGAGATGGTCTGGCGCAGGTCCTGGATCATGGGATCATCGATGGACTTGGTGTTGTCAACGGGCCAGAACCACAGCCCGTGCTTGTCGTTGTGGATGACGCAAGGGAAAGCGGGGTTGTGGCGCAGGCGACTGTAAATGTCACGCGAGATCTGCTCATGCTCCTTCCGCTCGTTGATCCTGTCAGCGAAGGTGCCCACGATGAGGACGGGTGCGCCCTTTGCGTGGAGGTGAAGGGAGGAGAGCCAGTGCTCCATAAACTCCCACGCCTCTGTCCGCTTGCTCTCGTCTTGGTGTAACAGGTCCTCCATCGAGAACACCAGCAGGTACACGGCGTACCTGTTACGGGATGATTGGGAGTGGTGGGAAGGTGTGGGTGGGGGGAGCAAAAATGGGGTTGTTGAGGGGAGCGGTGATCAGCACACATACATACGCACACGCACACACGCACACACGCACACACGCACACACGCACACACACACACACACAAGAACACACACACACACACACACACAAGAACACACACACACACACACACACACACACAAAAACACAGTGACTCACCTGGTGAGGAAGAAAGGGTGGAAGACGTAGAAGGTGGACTGGCCGCCCAGGTCAAAGATCTTGAAGGAGACCTGCATCTTGCCTTCGCCAATTGTCGCATCAAAGTCCATGTCCTTGATTGCCTTCTCCACCTCCTCCTTCGAAACGGATGGTGTGGTCACGGCAACGACGTCAGCATCGTCGTCACCAACGTCGGCGTGGCTGGAAGCTGGGTGCTGCTCCTTTGCTGCAGGCGTTGCTGTGGAGGCATCACGACCTGCAGCAGGTGCAGGCACGGCTGCGGTGGACGCCTTGTCGGATGATGGAGCGGAAGTTGTGGATGTGCCATGGCCCTTCTTGCACTGCTTCTTGTCATCCGTCCTGGCCTGCTTCTTGGCCTGCTTCTTGGCCTCCTCGTGCTGTTGCTCGGTAACACGGGTGGCGTGCTGCGCCTGTGCCTTTGCTGACGCGCGCTTCAGCTCCTCGTCCACGCCGGCCTCGCGTGCCATCGCCGTGCCAACGAGACTGCGGATGAACTCGGACGTGCTCTGGTCGCTCTCCTGCACGAGATGTGGAACGGGGTGATGTGTGTAAGTGCTGGTGAACAATGACATAAGGTGGTGATTGACCAGGTGTTGGTGGAAGCAGGTGTTGGTACACGGTGGATGCACATATCACACACACACACACACACACACACACACACACACACACACACACACCTTCCAGTCGCACACTTCCATGGTGTGGACGGTGACCCTCATGTCGTTGGTGGTGGCGCCGAGTGTGGAGTGCTGCTGCTTGTTGAACGGCTTGCCCTGAAGCGAGTCCATAAGCGTCGTCTTGCCCGCGCGGCCCTGGCCAGAGACGCCCATCTTGGCTCGCCCCGCCATGTGCGTGTCGGAACGCTCCGCAATGTCCATCATGCGCGCCTGCACCGCCTCTCTGTGCACCTGTGTACATCGGCGGGGCATTGGCGATGGTGAGGAATGAATGGATGATGGTGGATGATGGCGGATGATGGCGTGCAAGACATTAATTCGGACGTGTGTTGCAAGAGGTTAACACGAACAAATGCCTGAAATGGTGCGGCATGCCAAAGGTCAATGTGTTTCGTGTGCACGTACATGCTCAGCGTCTGTTGCGTCAGAAGCAGCGGTCGGATGCTGCTCTTGCCCGAGCCCTAAGATGGCGGTGATGTCGTGGAAATTGCGTTTTTGTGCGACCATGAACGGCGTTCCGCCCTGTGGAAGTTGGAGTGTGGAAATGGTGAGCAAGCACAGAAATAATGTTGACGGTTCAAGGAAGGTGCACCCATGATACATGCGGCCGCACCCTGGTGTTCGTGATGGAAACGTCTGCGCCTTCTGCGAGCAGCAGCTTCACAATGGCAGGCTGGTTGTGCCTGCAGGCAACGTGCAGCGGCGTGTCGCCCTGTGGGAACAAGGAGAATGGAAGGGCCAAGTGGTGAGAGTAGCAGTTGAGCCATTTTCATTGAACGATATCAGCAGCCCATGCACAGGAACATGTACACACAGACACAGTCACATACATGAGCACACACACACACACACACACACACGCTCACACACACTTGTTCATCCTGGTGGTTGACATGTGCATGGTCTTGCTTGATGAGGGAAGTGACAGCTGCGACGTCGCCATTCTTGCAGGCACCGAGCAGGCGCTCGTGTGGTTGCTGCTCGTTGTCTGCAGTTGCTTCTCGATCGGCGTGCATGCTCGTATGCTGTCGCATCTTCTGTTCTAGCGCCTCGTTGAAGGCGGTTTCGCTCCCATCGTCATTGGACCTGTGCTCACACGCAGACACACGAGATGAAGTACAATCAGCAGAACACAGAACGCTGCAGTGCAAGGGGAGAAAGAGATTGTATCTATGCGACTGTGCAAATATGCATGCGAGAAGGAACGGCAGTAGAGCCAGGTTGGAGTGAAGCCGTGGTACTTCGAAACAACCATCACTGCGTTGCCCATGAGCAACCCCTTGTGGCGAAGCCATTCATGAGAGTTAGCTCGTTCGAAGACAACAAGGTAATCCAATGGTGCGCAAGGGCATTGCACGCTTTGCGGCGCTCAATTTAACCATACGCGAGTGCGTCTTCGTTCGGTCCCCCATTCAAGCGTGCTTCAATTAGCTTCAATAGCTGCGCGTTGCGACGGCGTTCGTGTGTAGTGGAGGTGACCCTTGAGTAGTCGACAAGTGGGGCCCCTGCACAGGCAAAGTCCAAGCTTGAACCGGCCGGTGGCTGCATGTATACAGAGAGAGTGTGTGTTTGTGAGTGAGTGTGTGAATGAGCGTGTGAGAGAGTATGTTTTGTGTGTGTGTGTGTGTGTGTGTGTGTGTGTGTGTGTGTCTGTGTGTGTGTGTGTGTGACGATGAGAGTGTGCTGAAATTGAAATGAGGTGTTGAAAGTTTGTGTTGGAGCGGGTTTGGACTTGAAAAAAACATGTGGTTGCTGAAAGCAGAAGCGAGAACAAGATGAAGCGATAGCAAGATAGCAAGATGAGGCCACAACCACACAGCTGACTTCTTTGCGCGTCGTCTTGATGAAGAAAATAGGCTTGCGCAGCTTGTGGGCGTAGTGCAGCTCCGCGCGGCAAGAGGCTGACTCACTATACTCTGGTGAGTAGTCGATGATCACGAATGCAGACTCCTGAATGCCCTCGCCCTGCGTCTCAAGGATCGACTGAACGATACACGGACATGTCGCACGACACAACACAACGTAACACACACACATACACACACACATACACACACGCGCGCGTTCAGCTGTTGTCAATCGTAATCAGGACAAGCCTCTAAGCCTGACAAGCAGCCAACGCAAACACGTGTCCAGGAATACAGTACGAGTGCAATGTCACTGACCTTTCCGTCCAATTGGCTGTCGTGCCACACTTCGTAACCTGCGTGGGTGAGGGCTTGCTCCAACTTCATGAAGAGCCTTTTGTGAGGCCAACAGTAGGAAAGGAAACACTTGCGATTCATTGTCTTGTGTCTTCGAGCTTCGTGTCGTGTGCTTGTGGTTGTGAGTGAAGCTTTCTCCGTGCACTTTTCGAGCCAAAGATTTTGACGATTTCTGCATGGAAAATTCTCGACGTGTCACATCACAACAGTGCTATGTGTGGCGGCTCGTGTGTTGTGGAGTTGACCGGAGTGAATGAATGCTGTGAGGTCTTTGTTGTCGTTGTCAAGGTTCTTCTCAGGTTGTCAGGTCTTTAGGTCAGACACGCGAACACATGGCTCAATGGCTCGAGGGCTCTTGCTCAAAGCACTGCAGGAAGTCAAGTGCTGGAGAGCTTGAGAGCACGCCCCACACCCACACAGCCGACATCGCACGATAGGCACCACAGCAAGAGCTAGCACCATCGAGCCACTGCCTCCAACACGCAGCCGCACTAGCGATCGCTTGCTTTCTGTTGTGTCGTGATTGTTGTGTCTGTGTGTGTGTGTGTGTGAGCCATCATCACATCGCCTCATGTCATGCTTCCATTATCCTTTGTCTCCTTGTGCAAGGTTCGATCGTTTACATGGCACGCAATACACGTCGGTACAGTCGTTGTAACGCGTCAATCACAGTGCAGGCTCAAGCAACACATCATTAAAGTCATGCCGCATACGCACACTACGCGCGCGCGCTCTCTCTCTCTCACTCCCTCTCGTCTCTTCTTCTCCGTCTACTCTTCCACCATCATCACTTGTCTTTCTTGCTCTCGCTCTCGGCACTGCGGCCACGCGACGCCGCTGTGACGGCTGTGGAGACGGCGGTGATGACGGAGAGAACGCCCGTGACGGCAGCTGCGATCACAGCACCAACGTTGTCCTTTCCCGCCATGGCTGCAGGCAGCGACGCCAGGCCAATGCCTGTAACGCAAACGTGCATGTTGAATGGAGGTTGGAAACAGCAGTGACAATGAACAGAGCCAAGATGGAACACGGCACCTACCAGTGTAAACCACGCACACACACATACACACACAAAAAAGCATACAAATTGCACCAAACACAGGCACGCATACAGAAATGTACAAAACACGACACAGCACACACACACACACACACACACACACACACACACACACACACACACACACACACACACACACACACACAAATCATACACCCGCGCGTCGAACGCACCCGAGATGAAGACGACAATGGTTGCGAGCCATGGGCGGTTTGCCTCGTTCACGTCAACGACAAAGCGGCCAATGGATGCCACGACGGTGGCGAGTGTGAGCGGGAAGAGGATAGTGTGCTCAATGTCGGGGATGATGTGCAGCGTGTGGCGAAGCGGGGGCAGGACCTTGGGCACATCGGCCAACTGCCGCGCGTGTTCCTCGCGCAACTCCTCTGCAACAAACAAGGAGGGAAGTAGGTGTGAGTGAGTGAGACGCAGGACCACAAGAGGGGTTTCTGACATCACACACACACACACACACACACACACACGCATACACACACACGCATACACACACACACACACACACACACACACAAGCAAGCAACCTCCCCCCTCCCTCTCGAACACACCTGGCGCCATGTCGAAAAAGTACGGCAGCCACCAAAAGTAGAGCTG